TCTGAATCCAACCAAGAAAAGAAGCCATGGCTTAAGAACCATGAAGAAAACTTATAGTCTGTTACCACAGCTGGGTTCAGGCAATCTGACCACCCACATTTAAACAGCAACCCACAGTGTCAGTTATCATGTTGTCTGAACCCAGACAGTATGTTGGTATTTAAATCAAGGAAGGAATCCAGTTCTTTCCTAAGGATCTTGAGCATTCTTGTGCTCTAAGCAAAATAGCAAGTGTCACCTGTCTCATACTAGATCACTGAGCACCTGGGCTCAGTGGCACCTGCATGCATTGCCAAATCCCACTTTCTATGCCTTAAACTAGAGCTGCCCTCAAGATACCTTCATACTTGTTCTCCTTGGCATGGGTCACTATGATTATTTCTTCACCTCTTGCTGACCTCATTGTACCTCTGTTTCTCCCTCATTGATACTGGGAACGTGTGTCTCTTCTGAAGGCTTTCCTCCCGTAGGCGTGAGTCTTCAGTCCTTCCATCAAGCCTTTCTGGAATGAAGCAGCAGAGGGTTAAGCAGTGATCCGTTCCTGACAAATATGCTGCTTTTAACATTAGAAACCCCAGATAATTTTGTTAGGAGCAAGAGAACATAGAGAGCAACTTGGTGGGTTTTCTGGAATTTTTGGAAATTAATTTTCTTTGGAAAAATTTCAGTTTGCAACTGGAGAAAAACCTGGTCACCTAAAAGTGCTATAATTTAGCACATTTATTTCACTTGAATTTGGTACAGAAAGCTTTAAAAACTTCCTGACCATGCATTGTCCTAATATACCAGATGTACTTGAATGAGTGGAAAGGAAATGATGCATGTGTAATGTATTTTAAATGTTATATTATGTAAAAATGGAATAGATGTAAAACATTGCATGTGATATACCGACAGCCGCTCGGGTATAACTTGGAAACACTTGCCTAATGTTGCACTTGCAGTTGGTATCTATTCACATATCACACGAGGCAGCCATTTGAGTTGGCTGACTTTGGCTGTCAGGAATAGGAGAAGGTTGATATGAACTGAGCTGAGTGTGTGGAGTGCAGCTGTCCAAAGCACCTCCTCTCTCCATGAGGGCTCTCCACACAGTTGAGATTGCTCATTGTCCAATGAGTAGGACCAAATGGCGAGCCCCATGGACAGAGGAAGCTCTTCCAGTTTGACCTACAAAGGAGAGGAGCAGGGCTAGAACATGGCCTCTCCTTGTGTGTTTAAGCAACAGACTTCTAAAATGCCCCAAGAGGGATTTATATGTACTTCCCAGATGGTTGTGGATACCACTTGTGGTCAGTGCTGTGTGATCGAAGGTCCACCGTAGACAAGCGAACTGACCACAGGTGAAATCCTATGCCAAGCCATGCAGAATTGCCAGTGAAGCTTGCATCTACAATATCCATCTCTAGTCTACAGTATGAAGTATGAGCAGGCCTTTAAGGTTCAAATTCCAGTTTACACACCATTCATTGGAATGGGCAACACTGGTGGTCAGCAGTAACTTAAATCTCAGAGAGCTGGGAACTGGGTATTTTATGTATTAATCAACCAAAAGAGAGTTTTAAAACGCTGGAAAAAATGCCAGGTTGGAAAATATATAATCTTTGCTGGAAAGCATATAATTTTTCTCTGGAGACTCAACAGAGCCAAGATGTAAGTATGTTTCAAAAGTCTTATAAGATCTATTTTTCTGGGCCAGCTTATGTGGTTAGGGTTAAGCTAGAATGTGGGAAAACAGTATTAATGTGTTTAGTATTTTAGTTGAATTTTAACTTACTTTTGTATATGAAGTGCCATAAAAAACTATTACTTGCCATACTAGAAGTATAATAGTTTTCCTTTAAAAAAAATGTTTTTTTTAGAAGTAAATATTTAAATCTGATACTTTTTAAATGTTTGTCCTGTAGCAAAAAGACATATGTGTTTTGTCTTAATGGGTCTCGTTTAGTGTCTTCTTGCCCAATTTTTCAAAAGCTATATAACTGTGTCAGATGTCTGCAGCCATGTTGCCTAATGCTGGGGGTAGCTGCTTGGAAGTTGGTTCTTGCTTATGCCATTGCCTAAAGGAGCTTAGATTTGTTTGGTTTATGCCAGGAGTTAAACAGTTCTAACTTCTGGATTCACTTCAAAGAACTGGAAATGGCTGAGGCCCTTCTGCCACAAAATGGAAGTGCATGGGCAGAGCCACGGACGAAATGGAGATAGACAGAGGCAGAGTCTGGCACAGTGAGCTGCAGTATCAGCTCCAGGAAAATAGTCATTTACCTTTGATGTCTATCCCTGTTTGGAGAAGGTGCAGTTCCTTGAAGCAGGGCATTCTGTAGTTCAGGTTTCCTCATATTTTGTTCATTGATTTATTTATGTGTTTAACTTCTATTCATCCCAATAGCCAAACCTCTTTGGGAAGTTTACAACAATGCACAGACAGTGGGTACAATATACTCATATTAGGTACAGACCTTGTCCAAAGCAGTTTGATGACTCGGCAGAATTTGCTCATCCAGAGGCTAAGTGAAAACTGCTGGTTCCATCACACCCACCAGATCTCTCAAATATTTTTTGCTTTTCTCCCATTCTCTTTCATGCTTATGTTGTACCTTATCATTTCAGAATATGGCCAGCTCTTTTTTTGCTCTTCCCTTTGGAAGCTTTTACATTCAAATCTTTCTCTAACACAAGGGTCCTCAAACTTTTTAAACAGGGGGCCAGTTGAAAGGTGCCAGCCATGGGCCCAGGCCGCCAAGACAGTGTGGGCGGAGGGGGCACGAGCTGGGCGGGGGGGGGCGCATGTGCACGCACGCGCACGCAGCGAGGTTCTGGCTTGCTCGCAAGGAGATGGTTTTCTCCGAGCGAGTCCAAAATGATCTCTGCACAAGCAAGCCCCCACCTCGCCAGGCGCGTGCTCGGGCAGCATATCCAAAACCTCTATGGTGGGCCAGATAAATGGACATGGCGGGCCGGATCCTGAGTTTGAGGACCCATGCTCTAACAGCTTCCCTCCTTATCCACTTCCAGCTTCTCTAGCATATATTATGCTTATGACAAAAGCATATAACATTTTATCTCGCTTTCTAACTTGCTTCAGAGTGTTCCCTGGGCTTTCTCCCTCAGAAGAGGGCAACCCTCCCTCTTTCCTCCTCCTCCTGAACTGCTTCTTCTGCTGGCTGTTTTAACTCAGTTTCCCCTCTTTCCCATGCAGCCATGCACACACAGACACCCACAGGCTCTGCAGTTATTGGTGCCACAGCTGAGTTGGCGGATGTGGCTGTGACCACAATCTCTGGTGTTTCTCTTTCCCATTTCTCCTTTTTTGGCTCCCGGAGTCCACCTGCCTTTTCCCCTTCCCTCCTACTCATTCTTCTCCTCCTTCTCCCATAACTGAGCCAGGTGCTCCTTGTGTTGTCCGTTTCTTCAGCCTCCTTCTCTTTCCTTCCTTTTCTCCACTCCTGCATTCCATGCTTCAGCCTTGCTGCCTGAGCAACATCCCCTCCTACATGTGCTGAGACAATGCTGTGGGGATCCTTCACAGTTGGAGGGGGCTCTCACTTGTAGGGGGTCACAGAGATTATGCCAGATTGGCATCCTTCTCATCTGGGTGGGTGGATGCACAGAAGGATGGATGGATAGCAAGCTGTGCAAATGATATATAATAGGTTTGCACTCTGTAATGCTAGAGCAAAGATTTATGAAGTTACGACAGCTATTATACAATGAATTTTAAGACTACCATTTTCTTTAAACTATTGGTTGCTAACACTATACGTACCAGCAGCAACCTTCTCTTTCAGATTATAATTTATGCACATTTCATTTTATTGTATTCATTTTCCCCATCTTCCATTTCAGATCATAACATCTGTTATTTGGGCTACTCCGAATATTTCCTTTATAATCCCACTGTGGGTTATAATATTAGCCATACTCCTTGGACTGCTGGTTCTGGCTATGTTGACCTTAGCTTTGTGGAAGGTATGTTGAACTGGAGAGGATGCTAACAAAAATCTGGGAGGAATTTTTGATCTTTTGAGCAAAGTAAGCACAGACACATGAGATGGGTGTGTGATTTATTTTGGATAACTGGAATGTTTGTGTTGCTGGTCTTTAAAAAGAGGCAGGTTCTTTTTCCCATGCTAGGCCTAGTTATAAGTGAGAGATGGCTGTGATTTCCAAGACTTATGATCTTCCTTTGTCCAGAAGATGAGATTTCTGCAGTGTGTTGCAAATAAGTGTTCCTAGTGTTGTTTCTCTATAAAAGCTCAAAGAATTATCTGGTGTAACATGATCTTGCACCCTATTTAGAGGGATAGAAATGTTTTATTGTGGAGACTGCAAGTGATTTTATTTTAATATCATACTTTCTGTTTGATGTTTTTACTGCATCCCTAAAGACCTGCAGTCACAGAGTCATTGGCAGTTTACAAGTTTTTGGTTCAGGGACTTGGAAACAATTGACTTCAAAGTACTTAGAAATACAAGTTCTGCGCATCAGAAACATAGCTTTCCACTATAGCCATTTTCCAGTGGTCTTTATCATATCTATTAGTGATTTTGTTGGCTGTTGCATCCTTATCCAATCCTTTTCCAGTTACCTCATTTTCCTAAATGAGTTTCCTGCATTTTTATTCCTTGATAAACATTGCTGAAATAGAGTAAAGCATGAGTTTCTGCTCAAAGAGTGTACATGTAAATTGTGACTCATTAAAAGCAATTTTAGATTGGTGATCATTTTTAAATTAGACTTCCTTGTTTGGTCCTAAATATCATACAATGAATATATTCCTGCTGAACATTCTAGAAAACTGATTCCCAATTTGCAACAATGATCATGGTTATCATAAAGTAACCAGCCTTCCCAACTCGCAGCTTTCCTGGCTGGGGCAGAAAGAAATTGAAGTCCAAAGAACTTGGTGGGCATGAGGTTGGAGAATGGTGCTATGCTGTATACAATGGATTCTGTAACATACATAAGAAAATAAATGAGACATCCCAAAGCAGTAACAGAACTGTAATCCATGGGAAGAACAACTAGCACATGAAGGTTATCCATGCCTTTCTCATGCATGTTCTTGAACACCTTGTTGTTGATAATGGTGAACTCCAGCAAGCCAACTAGAACTAGAATTCTAGACTATCATACTAGAACTCTATAATAACATTCACTAGGTTAATTTAAAACTAGGTTGGCAAATTATCATGGAGAAACAAATCCATCTAAGTATTCATTCAAATCATATTTCACATTCCTGAACAACAATGCATACAAAATGATGTCTGTCTTAGTTAATCTATATTGGTTTGCAACCAGAAAAAAAAAAAAAAAAGCAAGCCTGCAAGTGGGAAGCCTTCGGATACTAGATGCTTTTTCCTCCCAAGGGGATATTTCTGTCCCTGATTTTCCCAAAGGAAAAATCCTTGCCCCAAAGATTTTGCTAATGGCTTTAATGTAAACTTGGAAGACAAGAAGGAGGGAAGAAAGGGGTCGTGCCAATGGGAGGTGAGAGGCAAAGCTGTGGATCCCCTGGAAGTGCAAGCGTCTCAGCCCCTGGACTGTCCCAGCCAGGTGGGTGAGCTAAATCTAGCTGAGATTGCAACAAAGGTGGGCAGAGGGGCTGTAATGGCCTGGGTTGTGCCAGCAGAGCTAAGGTTAAACCAACAGCTTCAAGATTAGAGCTCTGCATCCATCCTGTCTATAGGAAGTCTCTCTAAATAGCTTTATACAAAATAGTATAAAATAGTCTTTACAGTACTAAGATCATAATCCCAAACCTCTCTCATGTAGTCCGTTGCACTCTTGTTGCACTATAGAGTGATATCAGCTTAGCACAGCATTCACTTTAATACATGTCAGTCTGGCTTTCTTTAGCATACTTAGCAAGATCACTTACGGAAACATCCTATCCATGCTTACCTAGAAGCAAGGCAAGTGTGCGTAGGCATGCAGCCTTAATTAAAGACCCAGACCACAATTTCATAAATATACCTGCAGAGATGTGATAAATAGAAGATTTGCAAAGGTTTTTTTCTCAAGGGGATGAAGATGTTTGGCTGGGACTAAAATCTCACCAGCTAAAGTGTCCTAAATTGTGTGCCAAATGGTGTTCCTTTATGAAAGGAAGCAAATGTTCGTGCTGTTTTAGAGAAAGTCATAAATATTCATAATTTACCACTATAATACATTCAGTGCCTGACTCATTTTATCATATTTAAAATGCTTGACTTCAGAACTAAAAAATATGGGTTTTTCTTCACAATAGAAAAGAAACTTTAATGCAGAAACATGTTTGAAGCATATTAGTACAGTTTAAAATGATATGTAGAAGTTAACACCGGTATGTATAATTCAGATTTTTTTTTTGAGAGGCATTTTTAAGTGACACAATTTAATTAAAAATATACATCTGATTTGAAGATTGATTTTTATTTACCTTGCCACACAGTTTATCTCAATTCAAGGGTTTTTTTAGAGTTTGCATATTAAGAATACAGAAATGCTCAAAACTTTCCGATTAACTTTTGGTTCCTGAATCAATCCTATGCCTATTTAAACAATGCTGACTGAGGAGTGCTGGGAGCTGCAGGACCCGTTTTCTGTCCAAACATGCATAGGATTGCATCCTAAATCATGGTAGTTTGAGCATATCTATTGTAGCAGTTCTTCAAGGAGACTCTCTGTACATGAAAGATAGCCTAGTACAACCTCTGACCCACCGGTTTGAACTCAGCCTACCCACCATAAATTATGGCCTCCCAAGGGCTTTATATCCCCTCTGTTTCTGCAATCACATGCAGGCTGCCTAGCCAAAAGCTCTAGTGAGTGCCTAGCAAACATGGTGGGTGGGCTACCTGCAGCTTGATGGGAACTCGCCCAGGCCTGGCAGAAAAGCCCTTTCAGAAGAACAAAGCATTCATGGGTTCTATCACTGCCCATCATTCCAAAGATGCTCTCAAAGACAGTCATGCAGGGATCTAATAAAAAATAAATTCCACTCCTTTATATCATCTCCACTTGGACAGATAATCAAAGCCAGGGACTTAGATTGGTAAATCAAGCAGGTGAGAAGCTTTTGCCCCACACAAGCCTCTCATCATTTCATAATCTGGCCGTTCGTTGAAGAACGGGTCAGCCACAGTGCATGTTTGTATGAACAGCGAGTGTAGTACAGACAACATTCAGCAACACACTCCCCAGCTGTTCTGATCTGCCCCACCGAGTGATTCATTTGGCTCACAGCTGTGAAGGTTTTTAGACTGAAACTCTGCAGTATGGGGAGATTTATATATAATAAAAATATGGAACACCTGGCTTTCACCCTCATTTATTCCATAGGAGCATGTCACTATTGTAATCACAAAGCATTTATTTTTCACATGACAAAAATGTGACAAATATAGGGAGGCTAACACCCCAGCATTAAGCATTGGTACTAGGGTATCTTCCAGAATGCTGTTGGTGCAGCCCTGTGATAACATCTGGAGGAACTTCATGTTTAATGAAGTGGCATGGATAGTGCTATCATGCTTCCACATGAGCACAAACACACATGCAGTTGTGTTGAAAGTCCTGAGATGGATTCAAACAATAGCTGGAGTTATATCTAAAATGATGCAAAAGTAGATTTGTTTGTTTACCCAGAGTGGTGCTTGTTTGTTGCCAGACTCATCCACTTTATGAGAGATGTAACTCAATCCTATGCTTGCTTACGTGTAAGCCCTATTACATTCAGTGGGCTTACTCCCTGGTAATTGTACATGGGATTTCAGCCGCAAGCTCCTGTTTACTCCACATCTTGAAGGAACTTGGGATTTTGTGGCAGTGCCATGCATTCAGATAAGTACCTTCTCCATAAAAACTCTGCCCCATGGCAGTTTCTGCCCTTCAGTTCCTATCTTGACTGTTTAAATGAATTCACTTTTGATTGCATGGGTAGCTACAAATCCTAATGCATCTGATTTCAGGGTTGTCTGATGGATGTCCATGGTTGTGAGAAATCTGTGCACCTGCATTTAACTGAGATTTTCCTTTCAGCAGTGGCCCCCACAGGCACACCAGGCTGCTTTTCAGGGTCAGTGCACCAAATACACTCCATGTTTGTAGAAGCATTTCAAAATTAATGTAACTAAATTGTAGAGGCATTTGAAATTAAAATTCCATGAGGGATGGAATGCCAACATTTGCAGTCTGATTCATCCTGGGATGGGCTTGAATCCATGGACCAGCTGCACACCAGGAGCTCTTGGGAATTTGCTGTCTATTGGTTGAAATTTCTTTGTGATCGGGCAGAATGCATCAGGGTCGTTCTTCTACTCCATGGCCTCTGCATGCAGAACATAACCTTTGAATTAGCCCTTGGCACATACAGAGCAGTCTGGAGATTTGCATGAGATCTTTTTAAAGCAAAAAGTGCTGCCAACATTATCCACAATTACCTCAGCATATGTGCTGAGGCATGTACAACCAAGCTCTAATGGGAGCCTAAGGGCAAGTTCTGCAGATTAGAAGATGGCATGGCACTGAATGATCACTTTGCCAATTCGTCTTCACTTTCCTGTTCCTCTTTTCTAGTGTGGCTTCTTTGACCGAGCGAGGCCTCCAAGAGATGACATGGCTGACAGAGTGCAACTAACAAGCGACAAGACTACTGACACATAGTAGAGGGGACTGGAAACATGCTAGTGGGTTCATCTGTCAGGAACCTTCCTTTGAACTCACACCTGTCAAGATGTTGTTGTAATCTGAACTATGCGATGTTCTACATATGAAGAACATAGGAAGAGCTGTGATGGTTGAGACTGAGGGCCTGTCCAGTCCAGCATTCTCTTCCCATGATGGGCAAGTAGATGCCCATGGGAAGACCAGAACAGGATATGCCTGCAATTTGTGCTGGAGATAATTGACCGTGATAACTGACTGATCAGCAGCCACAGATAGTCTTATCCTCCATGAATTTGCATCATCCCCCTTTAAATTTATTCAACTTGGTGGCCGTCACTACATCTTGTGGTAATGTACCTTCACTACATGACGACTAGAGATAGCAAAAAAGAACATTAACACAGCCTCAAAAACAGTGATGAGCAAAACATGTTATCAAGTCACTTTGGTCATTAAAATTGTGGGATGCATTAAAAGCACTGCCATGAGTGTTTGACCCATGAGGGATGAAAAACCCTTGTTGCTGTACGGTTTAAATATGAGCGAGGCAAAATGTTCAAACTCTTACGGTGTGCTCCCTAAGGATAAGAACGCCCAGGAAACTGGCTCAGGGAGACAAGCAATACCCTTTGGTACTGTGAAAGTACTTCTGAAAGCAAAAGCAGCCTTTAAAAATACTTAAGTGAGGCTCATTTATTTATTTTTCCATCTTTTGTAGACTTGGCATTCTAGCAAAAAAATAGATTCTGAAGTTTGTATTCACAGTAACAGCTTCAGTATTTTGTATGTAAATAGAGTGAATGTATCCTGCACATTCCATGTACCAGTTATAAGTGTGTGAAGGAAAGCAGATTACCTATTATTTTATAGGACAGAGAATCCTAGAATCATGGGCCTGGAAAGGGACACTGAAGATTATCTAGTTCAGCCCCTGTCCCTGAGGCATAGAAGATGGGGCTTAGCATTTGTTTAATCACATCACCCCATGAACATAACTATAACCTGATTGTCAAGCACAGGAAAGTTCCATATATATGTGTCTAATGGTAGAAAAAGCTGTAATAAATGGTATATATTCTACTAATTAAATTCATTTGTCTCTAGCAAGTAAGCCAAGCCACTCATTATAAAGGGGAGACAAAGGGGGGGAAACCAGCTGGCAAACCTGATTTTGGATAAAACATCCTCCATAAATTAAAAAATATCAGTTGAGCCTTCATGTTGATGCAAACTCCATCCACCAGCCCTTTTGGAAGACGTGCTTCTTTGGCCCACTAGTGCAAGTCCACCCTATTCAACATCTTCCAATTGGAAAAACCACTGATGATGCAGTAGTAGAAGAAAAAATACTTCCAAGATTTAGAGCTAAACAAACCTTCCCTAATCCCAATGTGGCACATCTGGCTAACAGATAAGAAATCGTAAAATAGCCTTCCTAAATCCCCCAAATTTATTTCAAAACTTGTATGGAGTTTTATCTTTGTTTTTGTGTTTTGTTTTTCTTCCATAGCTTTACTATTGAAATGTCTTTCTCCCAGTTTTTTACATAGCACATTGTTAGGAATGTCTGTCTGACCTTGTTCTTTTTTTTATTAGTGGACAGTTTAGAAGCCCCAGTTCTTGCAAGACTTTTCTGGGCATGGAAACTCCAATATGTGCACAAAGCTCAGCCACACGGAACAGCTTCCTATTAGTTTCTTCAGAAAAGGCCAAGCAGTGTGCATTCTTATGTATAAAAAATAAGCAGGGTACAGTTGAGACCAATTTGGGCACTACATATACAAGACATCCATGTGGACAATTGATTTCTTAATTACGATTAGCTTTTCTTTATTAGTAATATCCAAAATTGACTTATATTTTTGTGTTGACAATGAACACATTGTATCCTCTCTTAACTGGCCTGCATCTCCCCCGTCATTGGACCCAGTCCAGTAAGTTTTCCAAGGTATCCTATAAACACCAGCCTTCGCAATGGCCACCAGTCAGTGTGGGCAGTGTGATAACTGGATCAAAGTGCCTTCCATTGGCCTCACTTAGCAATGAATCCAAGTATGTTTGTGCAAAACATCTGGATGAATTTTTGAACATTCCATGCTCCTTTCATCTACTTGCATCCTTTGAATCTAAAAGTAAAACATTAAATTTAAAAGTGTATGTACTCAACTACTTGCTCTTTTCCCTTCTCTCAGCTGGTTGTTTGACTTTCAGTGTAGCACCAATGTTTCTACTAATCCCAAATTTTGTTTTGCCAAAAACCAGAATAACTTCTTAGTGTCATCAGACTGGAATGGGAGGAAAGTCTATTGATGCCTGGGATCCATTCCATTCTCTTTCTGGAGCCTTTTGGGCATCCCAAACTGATATTTCTCAAACTGATACTGCCCAAAGAGCTTCAGCTGTGGGGTGGGATAGAAATGGAATTAATAATAAGGCTTCCATCTTTTTTTCCAAAACAAGGGAATAGTTAGCCAGCATCACATTTCATAGATCCCATGACAGAGTCATTTTAAAGGTTCCAGGGTATCCCACTCTGTGGCCAAGTTTCTCTGCAAGAATCCCCAAACCATTTTCTAGCCTTATATCTGGAGGGCACCATGCTGGAGTTGACTGACAAAATATCACTAATTTAAACCCTAGCACATTTCCTAACATAAACCTGTAAAGAAAAAAATGTGGATTTCTGGCTGTATTTTAAAAGCCATTTCCTTAATAGATTCCTAGGACTGGTTGCACTGATCAAGGCCAGTGCCTGGTTTGAAAGCCCTTGGACAGCTCCCCTTCCGTGGTGTCGGTCTCCCTCTGCACTGCTGTTATCACCAGCCGGTGCTGGTGCCGCTCCTCTTTTTCATCATTGCCTCCACTTGCTTGTCAGGAGTCCGTGGCATCTCCTGATCCTCCTTCTTGCTCCCATTGAGTGAAAGGCGGCAGAACAAGCTGGGTGCCCCGCTGAAGAGGCAGCACAACTTCAAGGGACTCTTTATCAACACATCCTTGCTGTGATGTACAGCCTTGCTGGTGCCCAGCCAGGCCTGCACTTGATGTCAGCCTGTATTTTAAAACAAGTTCAATTAATCATGCAATTGTGATACATAAATGCCAGTAAAAATAAACCAGTTACCTTTCGAATGCAGTGAAACCAGATCAGATAATGGCATCTGTGAATTCCAGCAGGGACTATCTTATTTCACATGAATGTGAATCATGAAGGGTCCTTGTGGAAAGAACCTTGTCAAGAGAAAGTCCAAACTCTATCCCAGTATTTCTTAAATTGAGGTTGACTCTAATTCCTCAGAATCTTATCAGGGTTTCTCAACCAGGGAAAGTCAACATTGGAAAATAAACATATGGACCACTGTCATTCTCCCCATGTAGTATTCCCCATGTGGTACCCAGTTGCAAGAGTGTGTGAGCTACATATTCAGGTACATTTTGAGTTTGTGGATGGGAATGGCAAGGTCCCCCAGGCATAGGGTAGTCATTTCTCCTGCTCTCTTCAAAAACATCTTCTGTTTAAAAAGCAGTCCAGGACAAGGCTGGTTTAAAGATAACCCTAAGAAGGGGAAGTAACAAGGCCCTTGGAATGTCTATCCACAGAACGTACTTGGACAACAGAAGGAACAGGCTGGCAGCTCACCCAGTCTCGGTCTTCCACAGTGTAGTGAGATGGATTGCATGTCTATTTAAATGATAGCAGCTTTTCCAAGTCTCCTTTTTCAATATTGCATTTGCTCCTTTTTGGCAATAAATGCATAGCTATCCAAAGCAGGCTGGTGCCGCATGTGAACCGAGCCCCCGCATGCAGCCCAGAATCCATCACAACTTGCAAAAGAAAAGGCTCTGCAGCAGATGCTTGACAAGCATCTGTGTAGACGGGGATCCCTCAGGTCATGACGTTTAAAAGCTACTGGCCTGTGCTGGTAACTTTCAGTCAGGTAGCCATATTAGTATGTAAAAGAACAATGTGTTTTACTCCTATGAAATTGCATGATAAGAAAAGCAACCATAAACACCTATTTCTCTGAAAATAGTACTTCATGTACCTAGTCCACAGAAGATCTTGGGGAGGCCAACTTGCAGCCTTCCAGGTCTTCTACTCAACAATTCCCATCAGCCCCAGCTAACATAGCCAGTGGTGAAAGCAGATGGGAGTTGTAGGTCAAAATATCTGGAAGACCACCCCTTGTCTACCCCTTCTGCAATGATTTATTGTTTTGATTCTGTCCTGAGACCGCCACCTGTCCTGAGTAGCCTTGAGGTCTACTGTGGATCTACATAACCACCAAGAGCCACTCGGGGGTGGGGGGGGGATCTCTAGAAAGATTGCATCCAGGTGGAAAGGTCAGAAAGGGGTTTCCTTATGCTAAAGCTCTTTTCTTGCTCTATGAGCTTGTAACATGCAAAGAAGGGTTACCCCAACTATAAAAGCTGTTCTGCAGGTTTCTGCACCTTACTCAGTTTATTCATATCCACCCATGTAAATACAGCGAACTGTACCTTTTTTTGTAAATCTTGAATTAATATGTTATAATCATAGTTTATCTGGAACAATGGTTTGTCTAAACACACGGACAGCAACTACACAGCAACAATTGTAATTGGTTAAAATATTAACAAATGTGGAATATATTTTTTCGTATGTGCAATATTTTATATTATCTATGTACCTGGCGCATGTTTACACTGGCATTTGTGGTTTTAAAAAAATGATATATTGATGGACAAATAAAAAAGTAAGTGTTCTACCTTATCCTCAGGCTTTGTTGATATGTGTTTAAATATTTTCAGTCTGGACCCTCTGATGAAACGAGAGAAATGAACAGACAGTGGCATTAGTTCATTACTTTCCTATGGCCATGGGGATTCTAATATTGCTTCTACCTAGAGAAGCATCTCAGTTGGTGGGTTTGCGTGACATGACAAGTCATGGCGCTTTCTTGTGCAGGGTGGTCTGTAGTGTCACCCGAGCCCTTTTGTGATACCTCAACATGGTGCATTTGGCCTTTAGTAACCAAGGTAAGCAACATCAATCTGTTCTATGGTTCCATGCATCGCCATGGTTTCTCTGGTCATCCAAAACCAGCACTGTGGTCTCCATAATCCTGGTATGCAGACCCCATAATGTACCTTGGAAAGAGCAGCAGCTGCACAAGCTGCCCCAGCCACTTAGTGTGGGATTGAATTTCAGGCATGGAGGCTGATGGGATATGTGCTGAAGGCAGAAAGCATGTTATTATGCAAACCACTGACGGACAGCTTAGCAAAAAACCATGCATCATAGAAACAGTGCAAAGTTGCTTGTTATGATGTGAAGCCAGCCAACATGTCTTCCACAAAGGTTAACCCATTAATTTCAATGCAGGAGCCAAGTCTTTTCTTCCCCATGCATTCCTAGTCATTATCATTTATTCTAATGAAAAGTGTGGAGGGGGTGAAAGCTACAGAAATGGAAACAACAACATCAGTCATAGCTGGTCTGGCTGGGGTCCATTTGTGGCAGCTGCACAGTGTCACAGAAAGGCAAGTGTGAGGAACATGAGCTGACATTGCTTACTTTGAGAGAAGCTCTTTTCGGATTCCTGTTCCTTGGCATAATGCACTCCCTCTCATAGTAATATTTGTAGCTTTACGCTGTCAAGGACTGTAGCATTTCGGCAGCTTTTCTTAGATTTGTGAATGTAAATTGGAAATGGAAAGCTCAGCAGTTTGTGTATGAGCATTTCTATGTAGGCCCAAGTATGACCAAGACTTAATACAGGCAATGTTCATGCTATGGAGCACAGTTGATGTGCTATCATTCAGTCCTGGAACATGTCTCAACTGAGAACATTGGCCACATTTTCTGTTTTCTTTGGTCTGACCGTGAAGACCAAATGTCTAGGAGAGGCAGAAGGAACAAATTGAAAAGAGGGGAAGCAAGTCCAGCTTCTTAGGGCAATGTGGTCAATATCGGTGCATATGGCGACATACATCGGCATGACAGACCCTCCATAGCACAAACCATTACAGGATCCAGACGCAACACCGATCAGGAGGGCCGTCTTCGATCCAGAAGGCCAAGGCTCCTGGCAATGTTCAAAGCCCCACCCTTGGAGAGATTCATGATACAATTTATTTAAAGGAAGGTCTTTTAAGAACATTTTGCTTTAGTCCTTATCCATGATAACTAAAACAAGATTCTTCTCGGAGAATCGTCAACAGCTCTTTTATCTTCTTTTTTAACTTTAAGTAGTTCATTTTTTACTCACTAATTTTATACTACATGTTTTTACTGTCTCCTAGAATGTTTGTTTTGTAACTATTGTCCACAAATCTGTTGGGTTGGACCAAGACAGGAATGTGCGAGAAATCCGTCTGGAGATAGAAATCCATCAGATTCCCTGGACTTACTTCCCTGGATTCTGGTTCACCTTGAAGCAGCCCTTAGTCCGAGCTCCTGGTGAGCACACCCTGCATTCACCTGTGCAGTGCAAGCAGCATCCATCTTCCACACCACCTGCAACAGCTGTCTGGGCTGCTGACTTGATGCAGAAGAAGGTTGATCGTGTGAGGCTCACAGGAATGGAGCTGTGGGAGACCACAGCGCAAGCAGCATCTCTCTTCGGTGCCAGCTGTACCAGCCCTTTGCACTACTGCCCTGACATGGAAAAAAGCTGCCAGTTGTGCAACTTTCATTCTGCAAGCATTCACAGCCTTCCTCTTGGCTCAGCTCTCTTTGCATGACTGGGCAGAAGATGAGAGGAAGTCTGCAAAAACTAGAGGGATGGATTCCTCTAGCATTTGTCCCAGCTCTAGGCTGTATTGAGCATACTAAGCCCCTGTTTTCATTTCATTCCATTCTGACATTGGGCACATTTTGCCACAAGCTAAAACAAACCCCTTTACTGCTTTTTGCTCCAGTGAGGAAGCCATGCATATTTCTCATCCCCCTGTACCCTCCAGTCTGTGGTCTAACACTAGCTTGGGGAATGGATTCATTTAAGCTGGAGAAATCCTACAGGCGAAAGGGTAAGCATCCCCTCCAGCTAAGCCACTGCTCTGATCCCCTTTGTAGCTTCCACTCCACTCACTTCTTTAAAACAAGGGTGGGCAGAACATGGATCCAGATCCATGGGTAGATCTCTGCATGACCTGTAGTGCCTTGGAAATGCTTTGCAACTCCCAAGTATTCAACAATAGACCAAAGAAATGCTTTATGCATGTGAGACATCTCAATCACACACTCCAGTCATACAATTCCAAGAACAGCTTACTGGAGTCAACCAGCAGACAGTCCCTGCCCTCAGGCTCACATTCTAAAAACACTCGCAAGTCACAAGGAAGGGGATCAGGAGAGAAGCAGGAGCATGATGCTCAAATGATTAAAGCTACATCGGTCGAGCTCAGGTTGGAACAGCATCTCTTGTCCTGGTGGTAGCTGAGTGAGTGCTCGGGGGTGGCTGCTGGCCAAGCTGCTCCTGCTTGACTTCCCACCACCACCTTCACTTCATTTCCAGTGCTGAAATGAAGAAATCTGAGGTAGATCTGTATGTGGAAGGACATGGAGCGGCATTCGGTTCTGGTTGCAAAAAAAGTCAAAGCGAAGCACATTTTGGGGGTGAAACAAAATAACTGAAGCCAAGTATGTCCCACAAACCCAAAGTCTCCCCTCTTCCACACAGCTTTAAGGTAAAATAGGAAATTAAAAAATTATAAAGGTGAACTAGGCACAGATTTCCAGTGCAACATGCAGCTTTGCCTGTGCTCTTAGCAATTCTAGAGTCTACTCAAAGGCTTGGCTATGGGGGTTGTCCCACCGAGTACCTGCACATTCAAGTACACCAGACATAGGACACTGTCGTCCTGGGTGAAACTCTTTCTTCATCTTGCCCAGCGGTCTACTCTCAGGAGACCCTCAAGCAGAGGTCTTTCTAACCACATGCGACCTGATCCTTTCAAGTGGAACTTGCATCAGAGGAGGCTGGCCACCTCTCTATCTGTGGGGCTCCTTACCCCTTACGGCTTCTATTTTGAGATTTAAAGGACCTGCGCATTGTGCTTCATGCTGGTGATGAACCTGGCACTTTCTACAGCCAACATCTCAAGAAGCATGTGGGAATTGTTACTGTGTGATATTGGGGGTGTCGGGAGGGATGCAGAGGCTTTCCATTTTCTGTTACTGATTGTACCTTGCTATAAACATTTGGAATTCCTTACCAAGCTTGCTATTTTCCCTCAGCGTCTTTGTGATGGTGAACTTTTGCCATCTTCATGTCTCTTGATACCATATCTGATTACCTTCTGGCCTAGTACAAAGTGATGGTATTTATGCTTGGTAGTTACTTTTTCCCTCCCTCTGGCAGGCGAATATTTTCCTATGGAAATAACTGCATGCCAAGATATTCACATTTGTAGAACAGACCACCTAAAGTATTTGCCAGTGTTTTAATGTATTCCAAGCTTGTGTACTACTGAAGCAGTTATTATCATGCAGGCACACTTTATTCTGTGTACCCAAAGAAGTGATTTTTCTTTCTGGACACTCTCTGCGTTGCTTTTCTCATTCGCCTTGGTTCTTGACTGGTGGCAGGGTGGTGAGCTGATGAGAACCACTCACCTTCCTCAAGGTGCACCGACCAAGGTGCATCCATTCCTGCATCTCCTTTGAACAGCAGCTGGCCAGGTGACCCTTAGAAGTGCCTGCCTTTGCAAGCGATCCTGTGTGCCTTACAAGCAGATGTTGCAGGTCTCCGAGGTTGGGTCATTCCTCCTCCCCTCTCAATTCTCCCATATGTATCTGAGGGAGTCTGTGGAAGAAGCAAGCCTCCCCTGCCTGCCGTAGCTGAGCAGCAGCAGCAACAGGGGGAATGGGGATTGCCCATTCAGACACAGGCTGTGCCCACTGCCTACCACTACGCCCACCTAAAAGGCTGACTGTTGCGGTGTGGAGAGGCGGGGCCATGTCTCCTGCTAGTGCGGCTGGTGGCAGGGATGCCACACTCTCCGTCACACCTGGCAGGGACCATTTGCCAAGTAAGCCTCTTAGGCACATCTGTGGAGCTCCTGTTGGCAGCTGCTCAGAGTGGCAAACCTTTTTCTCCCCTCCAGCCCAGTGGCTCCATAGTGGTTTTTGCCATCCAGGAGTGTCTTAGATCCCGAGCAGCTGGGTTTATAGGCCACCCCAAGAAGCCACGGAGGGTTCAGGCAACACAATAGCATGTTGCATGAACCCAGTCAATGCATCTATTGCAGTTCTGTCTCTTCTTCCTCCAACTTCTGGAAGACCACTTCAGAAAATACAGCCCTGTAGACCAGTGCTTCTGTCTGGCCTGACAGTCAGCACAGATCTTTGGTCCTTTCAGCAACAGACCCTACTTCTGTTTCATAGCAACTGTTTCTTTCTCTGTTGGGTATTTTTCCTTGGCCTTCCGCTGTGTCAGGCACTTATTTTTTGTCTTCGGCCAGAGCTTTCCTTTTTGGCTCATGGAAATTTCCTTTTGCTTTTCTCTCTGTTACCCCTGATTCCCTCACGCAGCTTGTCCTTCCACATCAACTGCTGACTCTCTTGTTCCATTACCTGAGCCCTCCCTCTGGCTGCTGCTGCTGCACCCGCACAGCTCTCCATGAGGCCTCTTTTCTATGACTTGTGCTTCTGTCTTCTTTGCTGGTCGGTTCCTCTGCACTCCCCCCACCCCCTGCATCTGCTTGTGTGTGCCTGTCTTTCTGTGAACTCCATTACCCAACCGCTAGGAGACATTGCAACGCAGCAAG